CCCCCCCCAATATCTAACTTAAATGCCACAACAATCTCCCCTTCTTATTAAAAAAAATTATCAGCCTTTCCTTGCAAGCCACGTTCTATAGATTTTGACTGTCCTTGTTGCTTTTATAGATGTACTGATGACTAGTACAGTGGAAGGACAATCTTGATGCATCTCACAGACTATGCCACCGTTGCTTTTATAGATGTACTGATGCCGAGTACAGTGGAAGGATAATCTTGATGCATCTCACAGACTATGCCACTACTCATACATCTCACAATACTATTTTGGCTTCTTCACAGAACTCACACTGTTAACTCATGTTCACCTTGTGATCCGCTATAATCCTTAGATTCATGCTGCTGAACTACAAAGGACCCAGTCACTCCCTAGGGTGTATATACATCACTGATTTTTCATGTCCAAATGCAATTCTTCTTTCTACCATCTTTAACCAGTCCTTTATTTTTTCAGAATAGAAATGTCTTTCCTCCTTTGAGAAAACCACCTCAGATTTGGCCAAGCAGTAAGTACTTGAAAATTGCTGCCCACACAGCCTCAACAGAGATTCAGAACTTAGCAACTAAATCATCTGGACTTTTTATCTACAGGGAACATACTTTCCCCCCCTTTCCCCCTTGGTAAACCAAATACCACGTATCACCTGAGGGGAATCTGCTCTTCCCTACAGCCACATGGCTGAGAAGAAATGTCCTGGCTACTCTTGCAAAAAAGCCATACAATGTCTGATCTTGGAACGGAGACCATGAGATCTCCCAGACTGGTGCCAGGTGGAAGGGAAAGAAAATCTAATTAGATGGGGAAGGGTGAAGGATTTGCTGTAGTCACGGGGGACAGGTGGACATGCAAGGTGTAGACAGAGACACCTTGGATAAAAGGAAAAAAATCTGTAGAGAAAAGGGAGTAGAAAGTACCCATGGCCACTACACCTCTGTGAACGAGGCCCACCCATTATTCCCCACTCAGCATCCCTCTGCTTCTACAAGTACTTGGGAAACCACTCACATCTTCCTGCACCGATGGCTCACAGAGAGCTATAACCTGCTACTGCTGCCATCTGTGGCAACACAGATGGTCCACACTCTATGGCCCTACCTGCTGCAAAAAGTTGGAGTGCCTACAGCAGATGAGCAGGGGATTCCTGCAAGCCAAAGGGTGGTGATGGATAAAGGAAAAAAAATCTGAAATTGGTGACTAAACCTAGTGGAGACAGTTGACCCTCACTGGTATATGCATCAGCTTCTCACCTGCACAATGAGAACACCACCACTATCTTCGCATTATAGCCATGGCAAAAAAAGAACTAGTTTCGGAAGCAGTCAGATACCATGCTGAAGAGTGTTGCACACAAGTAGATGCAAGCCCATACTCAAAGCAAAATCTGAAGAGTGAACAGGAAGGTGAGAAATGGATCATATACCGAGGAAGTAATATGAAACAAAGAATTGAACTTCTGGTCATTAAGTGATAACATTGATCCTGTGCGGTGAGGCGGGTAGTGGCTTGCCAAGAGAAAGCACACAAGCATGGACACGGTCACAGTAATGGAAGGATATCTGAAAACTTCAGCAGTTGAGAATAACAGAGGCAACACAGGACCTGAAGTAAACAGGAAAGGAGCATGAAGAACGGGACAAACTAGAAAAAGAAAGGCTAGAAGAAATGTGTGAGCCATAATCGTTGAGCGGAGAGCGGGTATTTGCTCTCAGCACGGGCTGAAGAAAGCAAAGCCAGTCCAGAGGTTTCATGCCCAAGCACACTCCCACGTCAAGGACACCACGGGACCTCTGGCACGTGCACAGCAGGACTTTCAAATTCAGTGTACAGAAGAGAAACTTTATCACCAAAACAGGCAGCTTCTTACCATCCTCTCTGCCTAGGCCTGCCTCTGGGTTTTCATACAGCTACTGTCATCTCATTGTCACTATGGTGCTCGACAGTCTCATCTTTATTTTCAGTATTCTTAACCATCTGGATGAATTCAGTTAATGATTTCCATAATACGGCTGCTGCAGGCATAATATGTATTAACCTTAGATTGTTAAAGGGAAGCAAGTAAATGGGAGAAACCAAGGCAAGGAGCTAAAACAACTTTCCTGAGACAAGAGAGGACATTACATGGGAAGATGCAAGTTAGAAATTCCCTACTAAACAGGAGCTCTTTGCTCTGGATCAGGGCCCTAAAGTACGGCCTCAAGTCCCAAGAAATAAATGGCAGTGTTTCCATGGCCTTCAGAAGACTCTGGAGGAGGATGGAGAAGCAAAGGTCAACAGAGCAATCACAAGTGGCTGCAATAAACAGAAAGAAGTACACAGTTTACCAGAGAAATATGGCCTGTGCAATTCGGAAGGCAGGATTTAGCTCCAGTGTCCTCGGAGAATGAGATGATTTGTCAGATATAAATATCAAATATAGTTACTATTCTTAACGCTGGCATCCCAACCATGTACTCAGGGCATTTATAGGAGAAACAGCTTGCATTTAATTTCAGTGCTTTTCCCCCCCCCGTAAGATAAATATTTTGTTAACTGAAACCTCTGTGTAAACCTTTCCGCAAAATGTCTCTGGGTGTTAATTCTCTTTAATTGAACACTAATTAGATTAGAATTTAGTCAAATTAGTAACCAGGTCAAGTGGTTAATCTCAGTTACTACTTAGTGAAATGTTCACATTAAAATAATTTCTCTGTTCTGGGTACACATTACAACATGGAACTTTGCTACAGGAAAAACACCAAAGCTATAAAAAGCTAAATTTAAAGAAGCATCTGTTGAACTCGGTTTTTTACTTTCCCACCCTCCCCGGCCTTCTTTGCCAGACCGGGCAGAAGTTTTACCAGGGAGACAGTGAGAACAAACAGAAATCTCA